TCCAGCCACCTTCTGTAGGCTGCAGAGCTGAAAGCCTACCTTCCACCACCCTTATGTGCATTAACATCACGATGAGGTAGACTGATGGGTACAGTTCTGCGAGTCATTCCTGATGATGTGCAGAGAATTAATAACCCTCTCTCTACCTGATTTCGTGGTCAAACAAGGCAGCCTCCAAGCTGGCTGATAGGATAGATTGCCACAACTGTTCTCAAAGTGCAGCTAAACTAACTCTTTGACAGCAATCACTTCCTTGGCAGGAACAGAAAAAAAAAAAATAAGGTCCTTTATTTTGAATAACTAATTCACAAGTGAGAAAGCAGGACAATTTGCCTCTCCTTTCCAGTCTATAAGTAAAAAATGAAGGAAGGAAAAGGATAAGATCAAGTTTCAAAAATATAAAGGATGGCCTAAGTGTTATGCAAATAGCATAAATACCAGCTTGATGTTAGCTAAATAATATGGGAATAGACTTTTGCTTAATACTTTTAACCTTATGAATTTTCTTGAATTTTGCATTGCCTTAAGAAAAAAACAGGGTCCCTGCAGATAAGGAAGGCCTTGATGATGATTGATATATAATTATATCCATCTGCACTAGAAAGTGTTTGCACTTATCCCTTTAATCGCAGAACCAGCGGCGCGCAATGCAAGAACTCGCCGCATACAAAACAGAGTCTAACAAAAATAGGATCTACTACAAGCATTGAGAAATAGCTACGATACCAGAAATACAATGTGATTGTACTAACAATAGCACTGACTGCCTAATCCATAGTGAGCTCCTCAAAAACTTTGCAACAAACTACGTTTGAACATCCATCTCCCATTTCATCCCTAAGTCCGATCAAGCAATAACGTGACATGACAGTAACGGATAAGACCGTCCACACTGCTGTCTGCTGTAAGAACGGGGCTTGCTCTGCAAAACAGGATAGGCCTTTGGGGCCTTACCAAGCTGCCGACTGTCACAACTCTCAAGCAGGAATACAACCATCTTGCTGCGCCTTGATGAGTCAGTTGAGGGCCCTGCTACACCATCACCCTTCTGACACAGGACCGCTGCTGACAAAACAAGTCCCATGCACTCACTCCCACTCTGGGACACCAAGAGACATAAAAACATTTAAATAAAAGACATGGCTTGGAGAGACCTTGAGTATGCAACCAAGGACCACAACTAGGCTCTTTGTCCTGGGGGAAACTTGTCCAAAAAGAAAGATAAAACCTTCGAAGGGATAGTCAACTTGTATGCTTAGGGACAGAATGCACAACTACGGACAATTTTTTTACCCTAAGTTACTGAGAAGTCTCTGTCCCTTCTTCAAAAAAGGAAAGCAAAGCACCAGGACCCAAGTCCTTATGGATTGTCGGTGAAACCTAAGCTCCTAAACTGTGATTTGAAAATGTGATTTATAATGAATCCAAGCGGATCTCCCCAAAAGACAGAAGCTCTGTTTTGTGAAAGACCTAGAGCAACGCGGGCCAACTTTTCCGGTAGGCATGCCACAAATTAGCCCTGCGCCCTCCCCGAGTGCCACCCTTGCTCCTGTCTCCTGCCCGATCTACTACTCCACTTTCTGCTCCCATCTCCTACCCAATCTACAACTGCGCTGTCTGCTCTCAGCTCCCTCTGACCTGCCGCTCTGCTTTCCGTTCCTTCCCCACGCTCCCTGCCTCATTTGCTGCTTTGCTTCAGCTTCCTGCCCTGCCTGTTGCTGTGCTGCCCCCATCTCCCATGTGTCACACACAGCGGCTGCCGGTGCTGCAGCCTGGCCACCCCTGGCCTGGACAATTTCTAATTCAGCCTCGTTGAGAACCAGAATAAAACCCAAAGCGGTGAAGTTCTCACAAAGGGAAAGTTAAAAAAACCTACCTTCAGGTTTCAAGTGATGGAAAGATGAGGTTTCAATCTTCAAAATAGTACAAGAGGCAAGTTTAGGGGAGTTTGAAATTAAAAGGCGATAGGTTTTAAAATGAAAACCTGAGAGATTTGATGTTGAAAAGATTGAAATGGAAGTTTTGACCGTGGAAGAACCCCTCCAAAACAACATGCCAGCCGAACCAGCCTGATTTTCTGAAGCCCTTCAGTGTTGACAGGGCTGCTTATTCTAAGAGCTCATGGGTCTACAGAAAAGCCTCCAACGAGCTCAGCTTTATTTCTAAACCCTGGTGCTTTTGAAAAATATTACCTAATTACTAAACTAGGAAGAACACTTCTGCCTCTGCAGGTCATTTAGCCCTTATAACGAACCACTCCCTACCTACACTACCCGGTCTACTGCCAGCAATTGGCAGAGACACAATATTGACTGTACTGGGGCAGGACAACAGTCCATAGAGCAATTCCCATTTTCCTAAAAACAGAATTACCTTGCTGTCTATGCCATCCTTTGCTTCTAGCTTTCTGGGGACTATTATTTCAGAGTAAGACATGCTTGACATCTCAGCAAGGCCTAGAAAGAGAAACAAATACAAATGAGTGAGAACGGGATATCGAATTCAATGGGGCAACACCAACCACTGCTAGCTGAAGAACTGGCTGTTCATGTCTGCAATGCCGGGAATACCTCCTTCCAGATGAGGCAGAACTGCAGATTACTTCATGCACAAATGAGCGTCCCTGCTGGCGAGGGAAAAGCACGTGAGAAGAAATCGACAGTCAACAGATTGAAGGAAAATAAGTGTATCAGGAAGGAATAGCAATAGATCCATTAATAATCATGGATCTAATAATAGTAAGGATCCATTCAGGTAATAGTAAGGATCCATCCAGACAGGAAAATAAAAGAACTGACGTATAAAAAGCAGAAACATTAAATAGGCAGACCAGGTTCGACCAACTAAATCGCTGGAAAAAATTGTTCTTTGCAAGCTTTTGGGCACAAACGCCCTTCTTCAAATCTCCGTGTGCCTAAAGAAGGGCGTTTGTCCGTGAAAGCTTGCAAAAAACGATTTTCCCAACTCTTTCGCTGGTCGAATAAAAGATCCGTGTCCGCCCATGTCCTCAGACAACACGGCTAAAACCAACAACCTTGAAATCTTCGATACAGATTTTTGTCCCGTTATCAGGTAGCAGGTCTTCGTCGGGGCTGACAAAACGATCCGTTTCCCCAAGGCTTCGGGAGGAGGTTAAGCAACCCCTGACAGCTCCGGCAGACCCTTGCAGGCGCCGAGAGCATGAACCCAACGGTTTTTGGAAGAGCTGGGCAGCCGGGCTGATTTGTAATGAGGTTTAGAGGGCCGGGGGTAGGAATTCAAATTAAAAGAGGGGATGACTTCAGTCACCGAAATCCTGTCGGCCACACTTGGAGCACGGGGAACAGGCCACGCAGAACTGGGGAAAAAGAAAACACGCTCCTTGATTCACGAAGGCCAGGCGACAGAAGCAAACGAACGTGCCAGGGGAAAGGACCTTGTCCATTAATTGACTTTTTTTTTGTGGAAGTTATGAGTGTGATGTAGATAATAGGGTCGATGTAACAGGCTCATTAGGATGCCCCTTCTGCCATACCCACCTGGCCCCAGCAGCAGCAGCACACAAGTCAGCCGCCGGCCCCACATGCCCCACCCCCTCCCTGCTCCAACTGGCCCCTTCCCCAGTGTCCCAGGCCCCACCCCCTGCCTCCAGTGCCTACCTCAAGCCTGGCTCCCCTGGCCCTCGCCGGCAACACACAGCACAGCCCCTGCCATGACAGCCCCAGGCTGCCTCCGCCACGAGCCCTTCCGTGGGCCAAACCACTTACAAGCACATGTATAAAATGTACCTCATTGTCACCTTGCCCTTGTGGGGAAGGAGCCGTTCCCTGCTCTCTTGAAATCCCACATCCCGAGGTGCAGGGAGCAGGTCTTACTAGATGCACGCACAGCGCTTGGGTGCAAAAGGGACCGTGTCTGAAGGCATGCCCAAAGCTGAGGGCTGGGACCCACAGAGGGAAAGCAGGCAGCCGCTGAGCAGGGTAAGATCATCACGCTCAAGTTGGGCTTGAGCCAGGCTTCTCCCTGTGCTGGGTGACCCCGAAGGCCCATCCCTGCCTACCCCAGGGCCAGAGGCGTTGCAGGCTGCAACTTCCCCAAGCAAGCCTGCTCCATGCACCATCAATACCTTGCACGAGGGAGGGGCTCGGGCAACTAAAACCAGCCCTCGGGTGCAAGCCCCACTGCAGCAGGGAGAGCGGCCTGGCGAGTGGCCACGG